TCACTGATAGGAAAATAGATGAGTCCTGAGACCATAATGTTAAGTTAAAATAAATCAAACACTGAAGGTTAAATATTACATGGCTCCTACGAGAAACGCAAAACACAGATAAAGAGCAAAGAGAACTGGGGACGGAGGGGACTGGGGAGATGGCTCAGTAGAATAATTGCCTCCCTGGCAAGCACAAGGACCTAAATTCAATCCCCGGTTCCACCAAAAAAAAAAAGAAAGAACTGGGGGAGGAGGGACGGGATTGGAGGAGGAATAAAAGTGGTCAAGATTCAATAAGTATATGTACTAATTTCCCAAAATTAATATAATTATTATGTATCACAAATGTATACTAATAAAAAAGGAGACAATGTCTTCACTATACCACATTCAACTGGAATGTTCTGAAACAGTAACTACACCATACATACTAAAAAATAGCTGGGCGGCCGGGGAGATGGCTCAGCAGGATAAGCGCTTGGCTGGCAAATGCAAGGATCTGAGTTCAATCCCCGGTTCCACCAAAAGAAAAAAAAAAAAAAAAGTGGATTGGCAGAAAAATAGCTGGGCACGGTGGTGCACAGCCGCAGCCTCAGCTTATGGGGAGGCTGAGCTGGGAGAAGCACCGCGCCCCCAGGTTCTGGACTGCGGTGTGCTATGCCCATCAGGTGTGTACAACAAGTCTGGCATCAGCGTGGTGACCACCGGGAGCAGGGGACACCAGGCTGTCTAAGGCAAGGTGAACAGAGCAAGGCCAGAAACAGAACAAGCTGAAAAGAATGCAGCATCCAAGACAGAGTACCATTTCTAGTGGAAGAATGCTTTATTTATCAAGACCACAGAAGAATGAATGCAAGGTTCCTCCAGGCACATTTTCCTGGATCAAAGGATCCAAATTCGCTGCCGTGAAGATGCCTGGGTGTTCCCGGAGCAAAGAACACTCTGTAGAACACCACAAAATACTGATAAAAATTTCATCATGTGACTTGGAAACCATTTAAATAGGAAAAAAAGGCTATATTACCTATGCACGTAGTATAACAATCAAAAGTAGTAGCACTTGTTTATATTTTTATAACCTGCTAAACTAAGGTGATAAATATTTCCATCAATTCCCAGTTATAATTTTTTTTATCAGTTAGTGCTCACCAGTGCTTAAGGAGTAGCAGTTGCCACAAAAAATAAATTATGGAAGCAAAATTTTACATTGAGATTATGCTGCCTATTACCTTTAATGTACACTTTTAGGGCAGAGAAAAGAGTTAAAGAATAAGAAAATCAACATTATTTCAAATACTACTCCACAGGTCATACTTGATTAGTCAACGCGCCAAGTTGTCCAGGGGCTTTACTTAAAATTCAAACAACAAATACATAAAGGAAGTTTCAGGACAGAAAGGAGTTGGCTAAGGTCACCCAACTGCAAATGATCAGGACCAAAACGCAATCTTCTCTCCCTGATAGAGCTACACTGCCTCCCCCAAGTAAATACAGACGAACCTTATAGCAACAGTTTTCAACCCAGGCTGCGTGTTACAATCCCCGGGAGAAGAAGCCCTACTTGGGGCCGGGGAGATGGCTCAGTGGAATAAGCGCTTCCCTGGCAAGCGCGAGGGCCTGAGTTCAATCCCTGGTTCCACAAAAAAAAAAAAAAAAGAGAGAGAGAGAATAAGCCCTACTATTTCTACAGTACTTGTTAAAGGGGCTCAAATGATTTAGATTGATAATGACTAAAAATCAATTCAAATTATTACTCTAATAAAAGTTTTAATAAAATATGTAGACCTGTTTACCATTACAGAAATTACCTGTAGAAAGTCTTTTTTTTTTCAGAACCAGGGATTGAACTCAGGCCCTTGTGCTTGCCAGGCAAGTGCTTATTCTACTGAGCCATCTCCCCAGCCTCACAAAGTCTATTTTGAATACCTCCCTTTCCCTTGACCCACTGTCAGGATGCCAGGTATTACCGATTATTGTCGTCTGTGTGCCTTCATACTGATCTCCCCTCATTTGCTTTCTACTGTTCTAATCCACTGTTATCTGCTGTGTTCTAAGATTAGGAAGAACCAAGCTAATTACACTGCAAGTAAAAGAGAAGCAAGAAAGTTTTACGTGAGAGCTTTTTAATCAGTAAAGCACATGAACTTTTTAGGACATGAAGTGAGCAATGTCAAATTTAGTTATTACTCACGGGCCTCTTCTGATTGTGTTCTGAGTCAGCACTCTGCTCCTGATTCTTTGCTCCTAACGCTACCCGGCTACACATAAGCTGTTACGTAACTAGGAACTAATCATTCCTTCAAGTCTGCCTCCCTTCCTACAGGACGGACTTTGAGTTCCGGAGCCACGTTTTGCTCATCTTTGTACCCAGTGCCCAATATAGCGCCATGCATACAGCAAGCTCGCGGCAATGTTAGGTGGCAAATACTTGCTACCTGAAAGGCTCCTAAGGCTGCCAAAGCCTTTCTTAAACAACGAGTTCTCGTCTACACGGCTGCTCAAACAAATATTGTCACAGTGGAACAATCTCTGTGTTCCTAAGCTCTCTGACAACTTGTTCCAGTTGAGTTAACAAGTACATACTAGATCTAGTTGCATGGGGTGTGGTGGTGCATGCCTGTAATCTCAGTGCTGGGGAGGGGGAGGCTGAGACAGGAGGATCACTACAAGTCCAAGCTGTGTAGCGAGACTCTGTACCAAATAAATAGATATTTTTTAAGTTTGTTTTTTTTTTAAGAAAGTATTAATGGACTTGAAAGCACACCATTAAATATCTAGAATCATATATATATGAAAGAAAAAAAGACCAGGAGGAAAAGCAGAGGCTGGGGGAAACAATCACATAAATGTAGCTACAGTCCCCAAATGAGAAGTGGGGGAGGACAGAAAACTGTATGAAGTACAGGAAAGATACTGCAAATTTAGGGCCAGCGAGACAGCTCAGCGGACTAAGCACCGCTTGGGCAAGTGCAGGGACCATGGTTCAATCCCCGGTCCACATGCTGCATTGGCCCTGGCCCTGGGGTGCGCTGAGCCAGTGACAAAGTCCAGGCATGGTGGTGCACACACTTGTAATCCCAGCACTGGTGAGGCTGAAAAAAGGATCACTAGGAGTCCGAGCTGTGTAGTGAGACCCTGTACCAAATACATAAATGGAAAAAATAACTTCCAAATTGAATTAAAAACCTTAAACTCATTTATCTAAGAGTCCAAGGGCTCATCTTACTCCTTTTGTAACCCCAGTGTTTAGCACAGTATCATGCACAACATGCTCTCAGCAAATGTTTGCTTCTAGACAAAAACCATGAATCATGTAGAAAATGGTAAGGCGCAAACTTGCAGTCCTCCTGCCTCAGTGTCCCAGAGTGGCAGGATGTGTTACCAGTGACAACTGCTGCTAAGTTCTTATATCATCATGAAGATGGTAGACCGCAATAAATTGAAGACGAATACTAAAAGCCACTTGAAAGAAAAAATACTGCCTCTAGTAAGCCAGTAAGAAACAAAAGGGAATTATAAAGTATATACTCAAAAGCCAGGTGTGAGGGCTGGGAAGATAGTGAATGGTCTAAGCACCTGCCTGGCAAGCACAGGGCCTGGGGATTTGATTCCTGGCACCACAAGCTGAGCTGGCCCCACCCCTGGCCACTGGGCATACTGAGCCAGCCACCAAGACTGGGCATGGTTGCACACACCTATAATCCCAGCGATGGGGAGGTTGAGACAAGAGGGTCACTATGAGTCTGAGCTTCGTAGTGAGACCCTGTACCAAATCAATAAATAAAAGATTTAAAAAAAAAAAAAGCCAGGTGTGGTGGCACACAATGCAATCCTAGCACTTGGACAGCCGAGCCAGGAGGATTACAGTCAGTCTGAAGCCAGCGTAGGCTACACAGTGCCTTCAAAGGCCAGCCCGCATTTCATAGTGAGGCCCTATCTCAACAAAGAATATTCAACATGGGTTTAAGATCTTCCTTACGGGGCTGGTGAGATGGCTCAGTGGTCTAAAGCACCTCCTTAGAACAAGCTAAGCTAAGCAAAAGCAGAGACCGCAGTTCAATCCCCAGCACCACATGCCAGCCAGCCCCGCCCCCTGCTGGGCTGAACTGGCCACACACACACTAAATAAATAAATAAATAAATAAATTATAAAAAAAAGATCTTCCTTACGTGTAAACAATTACAATGAGGGAAAAAGGGCGGGGGGAAGAAGGGGAAAAAAATCAGTAGTATATACACAGGATAGCTAAGATGATTCTACTACTAATTACTAACTTCTACCCATATTTTAAAGGTAACAATTAATGCTTAAATTATTATTTTGACCAATTTTATATACTGGTATCTGTAATCTGAGCAACGACATTGGTGACAGCAGTGTGCAATATAACAACCATGGTTGAATACCTTTCATCTCATTTTTATTTTTCTGTGGTTTTTTGGTTTTTATACTCTATTTAAAATAATTTAAAAAAATAAAAAGGACATCCTACCGATTTGATCTGAAACTGTCTCATTGCTGTTTATCAATAAAATTATGAAAAAAAAGTGGGTTCCTTCTAAATAAAGAGGCAGAAAGGTAAAAAAACATTAAAAAAATAAAAAAATAAAAAAGACAAGGAAAAGAATTTTCACAGAAAGTTTTTTATGGAAAAGAATTATTGTTTTAATTATTTGATCAATCTTACATGCCTATATCTGGTAGTCGGGGCAACAGATTTGATGATAAGGATACATAACACAGCAACCATTCTTAATTTCCTTTTCTTGTTTTGAAATTCTGTACCACTTTTATTGTCTTATGGTGCTTTGTTTTTGTCTTTGTTCTTATTTGTTGTTTCTTTCCTTATTTAAAATAAATACAATGACCTTCCCTATGTAATAAACAGCATGGAACTTTACTAACAAAATCCCCTACAAGGGGCAAAGGTAATAGTGTGTTGAACAGCTTATCAAAATGTTTATGACGTTAGTGGCAAAACTGATCAAAGTGATCTAAGTTGACTCACCTTTCGTATAGCCTATCTCTTGGTAACGAAGCACCCCAATGTCGAAAGTCCGTGATTAACATAAGTAAAAGGAGACAGGATATGAAGAATATGCCCAAGAATGCCACCCGCTGACGGAGAAATGGGCTCACTGTGGGGACAGTGAAGTACCAGGAGGCTGGGCAGAGGTAAGAAAAACTAATCCTGAAATGAGAGAAACACTGGTTAAGCGAAAGGCTGAGTGCTTAGAAACTTTTTAAATTGGACTGAAACCCTAAAAAAGGCACAAATCTATTTCCAACAGAAATCTAAATTTTCTTTTAGTCTCAAATTTCAGAAAAGGCTATCAGTTCTTTTTCCAAACACTGCATGCAGTTTTGAGCACAACTCAAAGAATTTTACGCGGATGGACAGCTCACCCGTCTCCTGGAGACCTTCACAGGGCCAGAGGTTCAGAGCAACTACAACCTTCTTACTGGATAGTCCAAAAAGTTATTCAACAGATAATTTTTTAAAAATGTTTTAATATGTTACAGATGCATAGGATAAAAACAAAAAACTCAAAAGAAGATAGTGAAAAGTCAATCTTTCGCCCACTGCGCGACCTCCTAGAGGCAATCATTGCTACCACTTTCTATGCACTGTCCCAGGGACATGCCGTGAGTACACCGACACAAATACCTAGGATATATACGGTAATGTGTCTGGGTGTATCTCCATTCCCTTGGTTTTACACAAATATATCATATCTATCGTTCTGCATCTTTTCCCACGTATTCCGTTTTCCACCTATCCTGTATTGGGACAAGTTGATCCACACTATCGCTTTTTAAAAGCTTCAGAGTAACACAATATATGCTAAGTGCATTTAGCTCGGAAGGTTACTTTCTATACTGATTTAAGAGGACCTCTCCGCCTATCTGCTTTCAAGGAGAAAAAAAAAAAAAAAAAAAAAAAAGACAGCTCTTTGTTTAACCTCCTCAAAGGGTACCTTGCCTCCCTCGGATGAAAATTTTTTTAAATATTGCAACCTACGAATTTTCAGACATGAGCAAGCCCACTCTCCACGGGCCGGGGTTACGCGCTGGAAACTATCCTTGTACCTGCCTTAGAAGAACAACTTTGACCATCTTTGCACACACCTGACCAGGACGAAAGTCCAGGCGCAGTTCAGACCTCACTTGAAACCTCCCAAAGCCCCGAAAGCCTACCTGCCATCTTCCAGGGAGTCCCCTGCAAAGAAGAAGATGTGCAGTCTTACCTAGCCATGGGTTCCCTGCAATGGTCTCAACGTTTGTCACCTCCTTTTCCTTCTGCCCTGAGAAGCTGGCCTTCTTGTTCCAGGCATCTCCTAAATCTGCCACATGGAAAGACTTGGCTGTGTTTCAGGATTCCAACACCAAGCACGAGACAGACCCGCAAGGGCCTGCCATACCTCTCATCCCCGCTCCGGACTCTTCGGTGTCCATCTGCTCTGGTGTTCAGGCCCAGCAGACCCTCCCCAGCATCCTGGGGGCGGCTTTTCCCGCAGGCCGGCAGCGTCCTCCGGGACCCCGCCCTCCCCAGGCTGGGGGCCCCACTTCCGCTCCCAGCCCCCACCCCCGGCCCCCAGCTCTTGCTCGCGCCCACTCACCGTGTCCAGCGGCTGCTGATCCCTCAGTCCCACTTCGCTGAGTCCAGAGTGGCTCTAGCCGCCTCCAGCGCAGCCGGAAGAAGGGTCGGGCCGGCGGCGGCGCCACGTCCCCAAGGAAACCGCCGGGAGCCAATGAATGATGGGGACTCGCAAAAGGGCCCGCCCTCACGCCGCAGCGGCTTCAGGGAGGCCAATCCCCGAGAGTGTTGGCCTCTAATGCCCGCCCTGGCCCTGCCAATCGCGTCCAATCAGAAGGAAGTATGCCGAGCCTCTGCCTGGAAGAGGACGACGACTGGGCACACAGGTGAGAGGTTCCCAGACTCTGTCTAGGGCTAGAGCTGTCCAGGAGGCGCTAATTCTCGGCGGGCAGCTTTTCCCACGACCGCTCCCAGAATGGAGAGACTCCGGTTGGCGGGCTTATGAGGTGCTCGCTTTAGAAGTATAATCTTTACCCGCAACCATATGGAGATGAATTTCATGCCCACCAGTGTTTCCTCTGGAATGGCATTTCTCCCCCTTTAAACCTTCCTATCGCCTCCCAAACTCTTGCCCTGGTTCTGTTGTCTTGACCACAACTCGCTAATACTGCATTTTCTGCAACACCTGTCCTCCCAGCAATGCCGCTTTGATATGTCTGGCCTCTTAGGTTTTGCTTACTCTAGCCCCCTAGTTCCACCTGCTCGAATAACCTTGCTTGCCTCTTGGCCAACTCTTGCTCAGCTCTTACTGTTTGGCCTAAGGGTCATTTGCCTCTGAAAGCCTCACCGGACCTACACCTCCTTTGTACATGCCCACTGTTTCACTTACCACTTTGAATATGCTTGAGGGCTTCCACCAATTCCCCAGTTAGCCCCTGGCTGGCACATACAGTTCGACTCCTGTATCATAAATAAATGAATGTCAGGAAAAGTAAAGACCACTTACGTGAGAACGAAAGAGGCCACTTTACTGAAAGCTGGTCATCACCAACAACAGTCACTGTTCTTTGCATTTAGCACAGAGTTAAAGGCTATCAGGAGATCAGGAAAGCATGATATGTAGGGGAAAAGGGAAGAGAGCTGGCTTATACCCAGACTTAGGTGTATTAACATGGGAAAGCTGGAAGCCTGCTAAGTAGACGCAGGGCATTTTATGCAGGTGGTTTAGGAGGGCATACACTGTGGGTCCTCAATCTGAGGGTGGACAGGCAAACACAGAATGGTTGACAATCACTGATAACTGCTGCCCATTCTGGGGTGATTGCTGCAGAGGTTGAGTAAAATTATAATATTGGTCATTGTCCAATTAACATACTCAGCCTCAGGGCTGGCCAGATAGCTCAGCAGATTAAAGCACCTGCAAGCAGATGCAGGGACCAGGAGTTCAATCCCCAGGCCTGCTGTGCAGGCACACACACCCCCGCACACTGAGAAGGCAATTGAGGCTGGGCATGGTGGCGGGTCCCTGTAATGCCTGTCATCCCAGCTCTTGGGAAGCTGTAAACAGGCTGATCACTAAGAGTCCAGTCTAGTAGTGAGACCCTGAACACCCTGTAGATCCTTCCTTAAAACACACACACACACACACACACACACACACACACACACAAAAGTACTCAGTCTCTTATCGGTATTTTTTTTTTCCCTCCACACTTTCTCAACCTGGTTAGTTTTCCAACATGTTCTTTTTTTTGCTTCCATTCTCATTTCTCAGATTTCTTCTCTGTCCCTCAATCCTCAGGTTACTTCACAAACCAAAAGTAAATTTGGGCTTCAGAAACCACAAGTAAAGTGTCTGCCTAAAGTTGGGATTAACCATAAAACTGTACAAGTATCAAGCATTTTTATTCATTCCAGAGCCCAATTCCGTGCCTGAAATAAGATATGCATAGCAATAACTCAATAAATGCTATGAAATAATGTTTGAAATGTATTCAAGTTGTCTTCTTGTGTTTTAAAACTAATCTACATAGGGGCTGGAGAGATGGCTCAGTGGTCTAAAGCACCTACTTGGAACAAGCTTAGCAAAGCACAGGGACCATGGTTCGATCCCCCAGCACCACATGCCAGTCAGCCCTGCCCCCTGGTGGGCTGAGCTGGCCACACACACACACACACACACACTAAATAAATGTAAAAAATAAATAATAAAAAAACTAATCTACATAGATATTCAAAAGTACAATGAAATGTCCTCTAAAAGTAGAAGATGGGGGGAGCGTTAAAAAAAAAAAAGGTAGAAGATATAAATAACTACTGTCCTAAAGCAGAAATTTAAAAAAAAAACAAAACCCTTCTGTATTTAGTCCCAAGACTCTTACTGCACTTTCTTGCAAAGCTTTCTTTGACTGTTTGGCTTGGACAACACATATTTCCTTTAATAATTCCACACACCCCAGGCATTTGTTAAGTGCAGTTCTTTACAAAAATCTGCAATGTTTGTCTGGTTACCAGTTCAGTAGGCTGAATTCTGAGATTTCCAGTCAGCAGGCCAAATTTGAAGAGGGTTGATAACATCTCTATTCATTTGCTGTAATTCAACATGTCAAAACAAATGATAGAAACCCGTATTTCAAAACAGGTTTCTAACTTCTCCTTAAGAGCTCGTCTGCAGTTACATTTACAACTTTCTCAAGATCCCTGTGGTACTCAATCCTGGGCTAACGCGGCCACACCCGCCTCTACTCGTCAGGGGCTTGCCTTGCTTTCTGTTGTGCCCTCTGCCTTAGCGCTTTTCTTCTCTTACCCACCTCTAAACTCTGACGGACTTAGTTTACTAATGTCATCTTCACACTCAATATTTACTTTTCATCTGTTTTTAAGCACATCATTGTTCAAAACCAAACTTGCTAGCTTTTCACTCTTACTGTGTTCACCCAAACCTCCTTCACCTAAGTTCCCATCTTTAATAACATACCTTGTGATTCCTTCACCCAACCAGGAACCCATGTGACAGTCACTCCAGATACTCTTCTATTTTCTGTTCCCTCATGAAATACTAGTTTAGACATGGGTATGTGGTAGAATTTTAGCTAATGGTATTGAAGCTCTGAGGGGAATGGTGGAGAGAAAGCTCTTTATGGAAAAATCATGAGTTTCAGCCCAGTCAGGGGAACCTAGCAAGACCCTGTCTAAAACACATTCTTTTAAAGAAAAGAGAAAGGCTACAACTAGAGGTCAGTGTGAAGCCCATGACTTCAATCCCCAGTACTGGAAAATAATAGTTTTCAGAATGTAAGATAAAGCGAACAAGCCTTCTTTTCTTCCTTCTTGATGTAATCTTATGGATATGATGCCTGGAGGTGCTATAGCCACCTTTACCATCTTGGGCAGAAAAGTCTGGGAATAACAAAATAGAGGTACTTTATAGAAAAATAAAACTAGGTCCTTGATAACATCATGGACTTAACCCTAGGAACAACTAATATTTGATAATACACTGTGTTGGTGAAGGAGAATGCTGAGGCCCAGAACTTCAGGGTCACCCTTAATTTTTCTCTTCCTCCCACATCCCACATCTATCCCATCAGAAAAGTCTGCTGGCTCTATCTTACACACGTATCCAAGCCATGCATGGTGGTGCATGCCTCTGATCCCAGCATTTGGTAGGCTGAGGCTGGAGGAACAGCGAGAGTTTGAGGCCAGCTAAGTTTGAACCATATCAAATTCAAGAGCAACCTGAACTGCATAGCAAAAACCTGCTTCGAAAAAACAAACAACCACAAGAGTCTAGCTATTTCTCAATAACCTCATTACTACCATCCTGGTTCACACTGCTATACTGCTACCATTTCTTACTAGATGATAGCAGTAACCTCTGAATGAGTCTTTTCCCCTGTGGTCTTTTCTGAACTGTTTGAAGAATAAATGGCTGGACTCAGCGGGTTAAGCGCCTGCCTGGCAAGTGTAAGGATCCAAGTTCGATCCCTGGTACTGAGCCAGAGCCCCTGTACCAAATAAATAAATAAATAAATAAGAATGTTTTAAAAAATTATGAAGAGTATGAATCTCTGAAGTCTAAATCAGATCATGTCACTATTTCACACCCTCCAGTAGCTTCTTAATCTTGCTAAGAGTAAAAGCCCTAATCCTCTTAGCCTATGAAGCTCTGCAATCTTCCCAATGTACAACCCCCTTACCTCTCTAACCTCTATTTCAACCCTTATTTCCTTTATTCACTTTACTCCAAACAAATGCACAAGGCTCACTGTTGTCATATGCCAGGCCTTCTCTCACTTTAGGTGTTTTGTATTTATGTTTCCTTCCCCAGAGTTTTCGTGTATCTGTTCTCCTCACCTGGTGCCTTGCTCCCTGAGCTCCTTCAGTTTTTATTAAAATGCCGATTTCTCAATGAGATCTCCCGAACTAGTCTATTGGAAATTATAGTTGTCCTTCCCATGTCATCATTTACTGCCGTATGTAATACTATTTTATTACCTGTCCACCCACAACTAGACTGAAAACTCCATCAGAGCAGTGATTTGGTTGTAAAAATTAACAAGGAGGCTCATTATACATATGAAAAGATCTCAAAGAAATATTGCTGAATTTAAAAAACCTGAAAATTAACAGAAACTCAAGATCATATATAAACACTAATTTGAAATAGATTGAAATCCTACACATAAGGGCTAACACTTATAAAAGAAAAAAGTACAAGAAAATCTTAGTGGTCTTTGGTTTAACAAAGATATCTCAGATTCAACAGGAGAATCAAGATCCACAAGAGAAAAAACATAAACAGTGGTCTTCATTAAAACTAATATCTACTCTTACAAATGAAAAGATAAGCCACTGGGGAAAATACTTATGAATCACATATCTAATAAGGGACTTGTATGCAGAGTATAGAAAAGAATTCTCAAAACTAACCCCAAACCCTCAAATATAAATGTTGGGATT